GCCATCATGATGTAAAAACCCATTTTGCAGTAGGTGGAATAACTGTGCTTGAGTTGCCCCTAATCCTGGGTCCCTAGGTCTGCTTGGGGCCAATGCCTGATGGAAGGCTGGTCATAGGGTGTGGTCTGCAACCTAGGAGAATTCAGCACCTGGCATCCCTGTGTCCTGTGGGACTGTCTTGTCCTTCAGCGCTGACCTCTGCCTCAGACTGAGGGGAGGCTACACCTGGCTCCTTCCATGAGCTCCGTGTCCTGTGTGAGAGAGTGCTGGGGGAGGACTGACCTCTGGGTCTCCCCCTCCCCAGGTCAGAGAAGGAACCAGCTGCCCCTCAGACACTCTCAAGGAGGCCAGTACTGGAATGAGATGCCAATTCCCCAAAACTTCACTCCACCTGCCTATCCTGCAGGCCAGCTGGGAGTCCCTGAGCTGGTGGCCCAGCTGGGTAGGGACAAGAGGACAGTGTTCAAGAAACAGGGACTTCTTAGGCAGGGCTGGGGGTTGAGCCCGGAAGGACTTCCTGCAGCTGTCAGGTGTGTCGGGGGCCCGAAGTGAGGGGGTCTAGGAGCAGCTGGTGCCCTCTGAGGAGGGGCAGGGGACCATTTGTCAACTCTCAGGGTGTAGGGGCCTGTGACACTTCACAGGGTATCTCCAGTCCCTTCAGCTGAGGCTGTTGTCTGTATTGGGGTGCTCTGCTAGACATAACCTGCAGCCTGGGGTCCTACAGCTTTGGGGGAGTATGCTCCAGAGGTCTCGAGGCATGTGGCTTTGGAAGAGTTTGGGTCTGGGCCAGCTGGCCTGCGGCAGTGGTACCCTGATGTGTGCAGCAGACAAGGCAGCCCCAGGGGAGGGGGTGGAGACCTCACCCCACCCACCCGAGCTCTCAGCTGGGCTGCTCCACACTGGCAGGCTGCCGGCCTCTTATTTCCGTCAGGCACCAGGGAAACAGGGCCACATTAGGGTTTGAGCCAGGAGATGCCCAGCCAAAGTTTAGACTTTGTAGTAGTGGTGGGGAATCTTCAAAGATCTATTTGCGGTATCCAAGAAAGACTGGGGTCCAGCTCCCCACTCCAGGTTGTGTTCTCACCGCATAGCCCATGACAAGCCCCTGGAGGCCTGCAGCTCTTCTTCTCTGTGCTCTGGGAATCACGGGGCCCCCTGGGGGTGCCTGCAACTGCAAGGCTGCAGTGGAGTCAGAGACAGGGGGCCTTGTATGTGGGGAGGCGTGGAGGGGCGGGGGACTGGGAGGAAGAGTTCCCTCCCCCCAACCCCTGCTGTCCTCTTGGCAGGAATTCAGAAAGGTCCTTTTTCAGCCAGTGTCAGAGCCGCTCAGCTGGGGAGGGAGGGTGGAGGAGGAGGAAGGCGGTACAGTCGGGTGGGGGAGCCAGGGAGTCCGGCTGGAGCTGTGACCACTGCCCAGAGGAGACAGGACAGGACAGAGGACCTGGGCTGCCCAGTCAGACCTGCAGCAGTGCGAAGAGGCCAGTCCCCCTGGCATTTGGGGGACTCCTGGGACAGACTTTGGCCAGCCTCCCTCTGGAATCCACATAAAGCTCAGAAGTGGAGGCCCTTGCCCGGCCACTTTCTGGGCTGTGGCCCAGTGACCTCTCAGGGCGATCAGCTCTGCGGAGATGCCGGCAGCCCGTCGCTTCCCCAGCCTGGAGCTGTCCTTCCCTCTCCTGGCCAGGCTGCGGAGGCAGCTATACACAGTGAGTGGGGCTGGCACTGGTCACCGTGGGGCAAAAGGACCACTGGGGTGGCTGAGGGACACCTCCCATGGTGGTGGGGATTGACCAGCTACAGGGCAGAGTGGCCTTTCTGTTCCGGCTGGCCCTTGGTTCTCATTGGTTTGTGTTAGCAAGTGTGTGCACTTCAATGTGTTGGACTCAGGTGTGCAGACGCTGTGTACGACCCCAGGAGGCTGCAGCGAGTTTATGTAGCAGGGGAGTTTGGAGAGGGGAACCGTGTCCCATCTTTACCCCTGTACAGCAGCCCTGTTCTGGGTGGGGAAGTGGGGAAGGGCCTTTGGAAGCCCCCACTCCTGGCCTCCCGGGCATGGCCCTGAGCTGCTTGCAGCCACCAAGAGCAGGATACCATTGAGAGCTTGGGCCTGGCACAAGAGGGAGGCAGGAGCTATCCTGCACTCTGCTTGCCCTGGTGGGGATTAGAGGCCCCTGTCTTAGCTAAACCCCATAGCCAGCAGGGTTCCCTTCCCACAGGACAGGGCAGTGGAAGTGGAAGTGCTGGCTGGGTCCATCTGCCCAGCGACAGCCGTGGTGGTGCACCTCTGAGCGTTACTCTGGGAAGCACAGGGCGCTGTGCGCTTTAGCTCTGCGCTGCTGCTGCTGCTGCTGCTGCTTGTTTGTAAACAGATGGTTTTGTTGAGAATAAATGAGAGTGCTGGCTGTTTCGAACTGGTATATAGTAATGAGTATAGCTTTGAAATATAAGCTGTTTTTATTGTTACCCTTAAATAAAATTAAGATCGCCTGTAACTGTGTGTAGGGTCAATCAGCGTCACGCTACTGTGGTACGTGGGAGAAGGGCAAGGAAATCAGCGTGCAGCACAGCATGCATCTGCGCACCTGTGCCTCAGGCGCTGGCAGGAGCGGCGCGACCCCAGGTCTCAGGCAGGACCGTACGGGGCCGTGTGTGCAAGGCCGATGCAGAGCGGTGTCTGGTGCTTTTCTTAAGGGTGGACTTGGGCTGAGTTTGCGGTAACCCGAAGCCCAGTTTTCCCTCTGTTTACCAAGTGCCATTCCAGGGAAAGTCAGTGCACATTAAACCACGTAAGTAAGAAAGTACTTACTTACTTGTAAATCAGAGCTTCACTCCGGTGTGGATAATGTACACAGGTTTTCCCCTGAGTGAATTGTATCGCATGGGATTTCGGGTAGTGTTTGAGACTGTCCCAGGCCTCACAGGATAATTCATATATTAGCCCCAACCCCTCACTAAGAATGCTGAGTCCTCCTGCTGCCAACCATGATGACCACCAGAAATGTCCCCTAGAGGGGTGCAAGACTCTCCCAGAGAACCATCCAAGTGAAAGGTTACAGCCTAAAGCTTGGGATCCCCAGCTGGCCCAGCTTCCTGGCCCAGTCACCTTGGTGGAAGAGCCAGGGTTTAAACGGGGTGCTTCTCGTGGCCCTTTATCACTTTGTGTGCTGCCCTTTCTGTGCTGCTGGGAAGTGCCAGGCTTTGGGGACGGTGTTTGCAGGACCCCAGGAGCTGTGGCAGGAGGCTTCTGCTGGGCCTGGGTTGCCAGTGCCCACTTCTCCCGGTGCATTCAGTTATGATGAGAATCAGGCTGAGGCCCCCTTGCCGTGGGGAGCTCTGTCCCCCAGGTGGGTGGCTGCTCCTCCCTCTGCATCTTGCTGGCAGTGGAGCAGGGATTGGCCTGGCCAATCCTCAGCTCTGAGCTGGGACAAGGGTGTGTTGGTGGCTGGTGGGTCAGGCTGCTTAGGTTGGAAGGTGCCACTGGTGTCTTTCTCTGGACCAAAGGGAGGGTAGGACAGAGATTGCTCTCTGGTACCCACTGGCTAAAGATTGCAACCAATAGATGGGTTGATATTGTTTGTGGAGAAGGGCTCAAACTTGAACTAGTTAATGCCATTTGAAGTTAGGAGAAAGATGTGAAGTTAACTGAAAGCAAGACACAATGTTTGGCAAGGGTAATGTGAATATTTATGTAGGGGATAAGCAACATCTCAAAGGGCACATAAAAGACTTTATTGGAACCGGGCATCATGATGCACACCTGTAATCCCAGCACTTGGGAGGCTGAGGCTGTGACTGAAGTCAGCCTGGGCTGCGTAGTGAATTCAAAGCTAGCCTGAACTGTACAGCGAGATCCTGTCTCAAAAAAACCTGAAAAAATAATTATTGGAGTCAGGAGTAGAAGTGTACACCTGTAATCTCAGAACTAAGGGAGGCTAACTCCACCTAGGAAAGTTTAAGGCTGGCCTGAACTCTAAGGTAATATTTTGTCTAGAAAACCAGAAAACAACAACAATAACAATAACAGCAGCAGCAGAAAGCCCCAGTATGGGCAGTGGCTGTGTAGCAGAGTAAGGAATCAGACTCTTTGTACCTTTTAAATATTTTACTATATGCTGCTTTTATTTTTTTATGTATATATATTTGGGGGTTTCACTGTGCAGTTCAGGGTGGCCTTGTGTTCACTATGGAGTAGCCCAAGCTGCTTTCGAACTCTCAGCAATCTTCCTGCCTCAGCCTCCTGAGTGCTGGGATTATAGGTGTGTACCACCACATCTGACCTGTACTGCTTCTTAAAAGCAAGGTTTCACATATGAATGCAGATGTCTATTACTGAAAAAAGTGGGCATCATAATAACACAGGGCCACAATCCTTTGTGACAGCCATTGGCAGGACCTGAGCTTCCCATTCCCTCAGATCTCTGAAAGCCCACTTTGGTCCCCATCATTTGTCTCAGCCTTTGTGGCCTTGTGGGCCCCTGCAGGTGGCCTGTGCAAGGGTCTTTGGATTGGATGTCATGCACTGGAGGGCCTTCTGATCTGAGGAGTCCATGGGTGGGTTTTAGGGGTCACTGCAACCCCTCAATCAATCTTTCAATCTCTCTTTTTGTCTGTCTGTCTTTTCTTTCTTTGTTACTGGAACTCAAACTCAGGACCTCGTGCCTTCTAGGCAGGTGTTATCCCGCTCAGCTACATCCCCGCCTTGCTAACATTTCTAATTAGAATTTTAGGAGTAAAAATCTGGCCGTCTTATAGAGAGGTGATAAGTTTTTTGTGAGGTTATCAAAGCATTGGTGATGCTGGAGGCTGTAAGGGCAGGCAGAGAGCCTGCAAGAGCGGTGACCGCAGGAGTAAAGCCTCGGATGCTGGAGGTCAGCCTGCATCTCATCTCGGCCGCCCTCTGTCTACCCTGTGGCTAACAGGATGGGGGGGAAGTGTGGTCAGCCGTTGTGGGGAGCAGGAAGGTAAATTGCACCCTCCCAAGCAGCCTCCCTGTGTTGCAGGGTGTTGGGAGCTGGACCCTGGTAGCAGCCCCTGCTAGCCTTGGGCCTTGGCCTGCACCTTTCTCCCATCCCGCCCGTCTGCAGAGGCTGGGGAGCGGCAGCATGCAGCCTGAGGAAGGCACGGGCTGGCTGTTGGAGCTGCTCTCCGAGGTGCAGCTCCAGCAGTACTTCCTGCGGCTCCGAGATGACCTCAACGTGACTCGCCTGTCCCACTTTGAGTATGTCAAGAACGAGGACCTGGAGAAGATCGGCATGGGCCGGCCTGGTAGGTGGGACCTTGGCTTGACTGTCTGTCCCTTTGGACCACTTACCTCCTCGGCTCCTGGGTGGCCAGGCCCACGGGAGAATCCTGCCCTGTCATCCACAGGGGCGGGGGGTCCCCTGTCTGGCTCAGAGTCCCGGGAAGGGGGCGGAGGACAGCTGTGGATGCTGCCAGGGAGTGTGCTGGGAACCTGTGCAGCTCTGAAGGTGAATCGGAGTCTGGGGGACTTGGGATCTTACGACTTAGCTCCCCAGCCTCGCCTACACCCCATCTGAGATGTTTCTGTGACCCCACCCCACCCCCGCCCTGCCCCGCAAGTGGAGCCCTGAGCCTGCTCTGTTCTTTCTGAACATTGGTGGGGTCAATATCCAGAGAGTGGTGGAGGAAGAAGAGAAAAGCTTCCGGCTTCTTCTCCCTCCCTGCCTCCCTCCTGTCCCCTCTTCTAAGCGGAACTTCTTCTCTGTGTATGCAGGGCAGTGGTTGTAGCACCTCGAAGTCTCGTCTGTTCTTGTAGAAATTTTCCAGGCCATTCACCTTCCATGGCACCCATGGTGTTCACTACACTGGCATCAGTGGGTGCTGCTCTTGGCCTGGATCCCTGGGATCTGGTGACGGTAGCATGAGAAAATTCACAGGGAAACAACTCAAAATTGAGAATATTCTATCCATTATCCTGATCTTCCTGGCAGGTTGGAGAGGACCAGCACTATTTAATTTTGGTGATGAGGCTCCCCCATCTAGTTTGAGGACCACTGTAGGAAGTGGGGTGTTGTGACTGTCTGCCAAACAGCAGTGCCCACTGAGTTGGGAGTGGTTTGGTTGGCATTATTGTGCTGGACAGTGTCTTGTGTGGGCACACCCACGGGACCCCAGAAGCTGTAGGATGGGCAGGCAGCAGCCTGGGGGCACTGTGAGGCACCAACAGTGCTGTCCCTTCCTCCCTGCAGGCCAGCGGCGGCTGTGGGAGGCTGTGAAGAGAAGGAAGGCCCTGTGCAAGCGCAAGTCATGGATGAGCAAGGTGGGTGGTAGCCCGGGGTATCCTGTGGCAGTGCCAGGTGCCTGGCCCTCCCTGGACAGCTGTAGTCTCGCTGTGCCCCTGTACAATGTCCAGGCCACCCTCCTCCAGGTCTTATCAGGCAGTGCACTTGTGTGGCAGTGGTCGCTTACGTGTCTTGCCAGGGGCAGCCCTGTGAGCAGCCTGGGTGCCTTCCCCAGGGCTTGCTCTGCACACTGTGGCCAGGGTCCAGCAGGGGGGCGGGGCAGGCTGGACATCTGTCTTGGCTCCCAGCCCAGCTCCTTGGTCTTTGGGCTGCTCTGGTCACTGGCCCTGCTTCCCCCACTACCTCGTGCTCATTTGAGTCTGGGCTATGGCAGTCCCTGGTCTGACTCAGTGGAACTTTGCCATTGTCTGGAAGACAATGAGGGAGGAAGTGAGCCAGCCAGGCCTGCCTCCCTCCCTCGTTGGCCCCCGCCTGGGCCTTCAGAACAGAACAGCTGGCAGGGATTGGGCAGGAGAGCTTTCCTGGCCCAGCCAGCAGAGGGGCTGTCTCTTGGGATCCTGTGGCCTTTTCTGGGGACACAGTCTTGGTTCCTTGCCCAGGCTTCAGGGGAGGATGAGAGTGTTGGGCCTGGCAAAAGCCACAATAGCAGCATGGGTGTTAGTTCTGATCTATGCTGGCTTGCTGGGGGCCTTTAAGTGGCCAGCACCCCTCCCTGGCCCGAGTCACTGCTTCCATAGAGTGGCAGAGATGAGACTGGAAAGGGCCTTGGAAGCTGGGCCTTGCCTGCAAGCACAAGGAGAATTCCATTACTGGGGGGAAGGACAGAGCAGAGGCCCAAGGAGGCTCCCAGATTTGAGCCGCCCTCGCACTCACAGAGGAGACGCTGGGCCCCTAGGGGGAAGGAAAGGGTGCCAGCCAGGGAGATGGCCAGCTCGCTGCCCTCAGCCTCTTCTCTCCTGTCCCTCGACCTTCAGCCCCACCCTGTCCATGCCTCGGCGCCTCCTCCAGTCCTCCTCTTCTCAGCCCTCAGTGCTCGGCGGCCCTCCAGGCTGCAGCTGTCTTCCCAGGCCCAGCTAGGATGTGTGCGCGTGTGCGCGTGCGCACAACACACACACACACACACACACACACACACACACAGAGCTCAGCCTCAGACTAAATTTATCCTCTCCCCTGGGTGGATGAAGGGCAGCCGACTCCCTGGGGAGGGGAGACAGACAGCACCAAGTGATCACCCCAGGGAAGGGGCCAGGGCTAAAAATGGACAGGGAGGTGTTTGTGGAGAGCCTTGGCCCCTGCCCCATCCTTGAGGCTCTAGACCAGTGTCTGTGCCCTGAGGGGCTCAGAGGAATGGTGGATCAGGAAGCTCAGACCTGAGAGCAAGGCTGCAGGGTCCTGGGATGGCCCTGTCCCCACAGCTGGGAGGGGGCCTCTGCTATTGTCTTTCACCCTTCCTCAGAGGTCGTGGGCTCCCCTGGCTGTGTGCTGGAAGGAGTAGGGCCTCCAGCAGCCGGGCCAGGGCGGGCTTGTCCCACACAGAGCCCAGGAACCCTGGGAGGACCCAGTGGGGCAAGGCTGGGGCTGAGCGGCGGCCGGGATCCACCTGGCCCCTGGTTGCCTCCAAACAGGTGTTCAGTGGAAAGCGACTGGAGGCTGAGTTTCCCCCTCACCACTCCCAGAGCACCTTCCGGAAGCCCTCGCCCACCCCAGGGGCCCCCGCCAGTGAGGGGCCCCTCCAGAGCCTCACCTGCCTCATCGGGGAGAAGGACTTGCGCCTCCTGGAAAAGCTGGGGGATGGCTCCTTCGGTGTGGTGCGCAGGGGCGAGTGGGATGCGCCCTCAGGCAAGACGGTGAGCTCTGCTCCCACCTGCAGCAGCCAGGGGGAGCCCTAAGACGACAGAGCCCCCTTCCCACCCTGCCGGGCCTGAATGTGAAAACCTGGTGGTCCCGGAGCCCACGCTGGGATTTGGAGGAAGCAGTTAGCATTCCCACCTTTCCCCACGCAGGCACTTGGTTGGGTCCAGTTAAGGTGCACGCTTTGGATGTAGCTCTTCCGATCTCAGCCTTGTTTCCCCTTTGGGCTAACGGGCATCTCTAGGCATGCAGTCAAGCAGCTTTACACATATGCAGTGCCCACCTGCTCTGAAGGGCAAAGGATAGATAGATAGCACGGGAACCCGGAGACAGTGGAGCGAGACTGTGACCTCACACCCTAGGGAGGCTGAGGCAGGAGGAAAGCATTGCCAGCACCCTGGAGAGCTGCCTGAGGCCCCTCCCTGCCTTCAGCGTTCCCTTCTTCCCAGGGAGGCCACTGTGCCCATTGGTAACACCGTGGAGCGCTTGGCATTAGATTTATCACAGCGTCAGTGTCCTGTTGTCCTATCCGATGTCTCTTAGCTCATGGTTGCTGCTTAACGTGGGCTTAGGGGAGGCCCAGCTAACAAGCAGCTGCCTCCGCACTGGACCCCCAGCCCTGGTGCTGTCCCTGCCCCCATGCTGAGCAGAGCAGAGGGGAGATGTGTCTCTGGGCTGTGTTGGGGAGGAGCGACTTGGACCCAAGAACCAGCACCCGGGGAGACCTCACCCTGCATGTCCTGCCCGGCAGGTGAGCGTGGCCGTGAAGTGCCTGAAGCCTGATGTGCTGAGCCAGCCTGAGGCCATGGATGACTTTATCCGGGAGGTCAATGCCATGCATTCGCTTGACCACCGAAACCTCATCCGCCTCTATGGCGTGGTGCTCACGCCGCCCATGAAGATGGTGAGTGCCAGAGGCCTGGGGGACTGGGGCTGGGGCAGACAGAGGGGCTCACCGGCCCAGGCCAGTGCTGTCACCTGCATTTTGCAGAACCGCACCTTGGAGCACTGGCCTTCCAGTTTATGTTTGGAATTTGTAGCCTGAGTCTCCCAGGGCAGCTTCTGCTGGGCCCATTTCCCACATGGCTTGGAGGGAGCAGCCTGGGAAGCAGCAGGGCTCCTGCTGTCCCCGAGGTCAGGTCAAGGAGGAGCACTGAGTGTGGCTGGACAGCCTTCTGGGAGTGGCACGGAGCCCACGCTGGCTGCTTAGCCGCACTCCTCCTGCTGCACTGTGGTCCCAGGTGACAGAGCTGGCGCCCCTGGGATCCCTGTTGGACCGGCTTCGGAAACACCAGGGTCATTTCCTCCTGGGAACGCTGAGCCGCTACGCCGTACAGGTGGCCGAGGGCATGGGCTACCTGGAGTCCAAGCGTTTTATTCACCGTGACCTAGCCGCCCGAAATCTGCTGCTGGCTACCCGTGACCTGGTCAAGATCGGGGACTTCGGACTGATGCGAGCCCTGCCCCAGAATGATGACCACTATGTGATGCAGGAACATCGCAAGGTGCCCTTTGCCTGGTGAGGGGCAGGTGCTGCTGGCCCCTACCCTGGGCCTCAAGTTTCTGGGGCCTCTGGTTACACATCTTTGATTCTTCTGGTCCTGGGGTGCCCTTCTCACCCACCCATCTGTTCCCCATCTGCCCAGGAGTGCTGGAGGGACACCCAAAGGCCTAAGGATGAAAGCTGTGGGCCAGAAGGCTGTGCTATTCAGTGGGGAATTGGAAGGCTTACTACAGGACTTGATACTGAGCTCCTCGGGAGTCAGGACTGTGTCTAGCACGCCTGCTGGGGGCGCATTCTGGGTGGAGCTGGCAGTAGGTCTCATAGACCTTGGCAACCGAGGTGTCGCCCAGCTCTTCCTGTGCCCTCTGGGGCTCATCCTGTGCTGAGATCATTGTGGTCCCCTGGCACCCTAGCGGTGCCCAGAGGATTGTGGTCTTTAAGGTGGCAGGAACCAGTGCATCACTGCCTGCTGTGTAATCAGACTGCTCACGCACCCTAATTAATAAGTCACTCTGCTGCTGCGGGTGGTGTGTCCTGAGTTACGCCCATTGTCCTGGAGTACTTAACAGTGCCCACTTTTGTATTCAAGTATGCTGGTTGGACTGATAAGTTAAAAAGATCACTTAAAAAAGCCCTGTGGAGTATTCAGGTTATTGTTCCATTTCATAGATGGGAAAATGAAGCCTAGGATCTTGAGCAAGTGTCCTCAAGTCCTGTCCCCTTGAGACTCACAGTGACGTCACAGGAAGGCCTGGGTTTTGTTTTGTTTTTTGTTTTCCTTCTTCTGTTTTTGGTTGTTTGAGACAGTGTCTTAGTATTAGTTGAGGCTGGTCTTGAACTCACTACCACAGGGGATCTTACGAACCTATGCAGAGTGCATGTTTCTCTCCCAGTACCTTTGCCCACTCCGGGCACCCCGTCCTAAGCTCTCCCAGGAGGGGCCCCAGAGTGAGTTTGGGTAAAAGCAGTTTAATATTCCAAACGTTCGGGTCCTCCCCTTGCCCTGCGTTTCCTGCCCACATCTTCCTGCCTAAGTGACCCAGATGCCAGGATCTGCCCCAGATCTGGAGGTTGTCATCCTCCTACCAGACCTCAGCTCCCACCCCCTGACCTAGAGCCTTCTGGGCTCTCTCAGCTTCCTGTCTAGGAGCTCCACAGACAGCCCAGCTGCGTGTGGCAGGAGCCCTAGGGGGACAGGGAGTATGCCCTTCATCAGGGTGCCCTTCCCCTCCTACCGTTCCACACCTGGGCAGCAGGGAAGGCTTGTCCAGTGACAGTGCCATGTCCATGCGAGCTGACTCCTGCCTCTGCCAGGTGTGCCCCCGAGAGCCTGAAGACCCGCACCTTCTCCCACGCGAGTGACACCTGGATGTTTGGGGTCACACTGTGGGAGATGTTCACCTACGGCCAGGAGCCCTGGATTGGCCTCAATGGCAGCCAGGTGAGGGGTCTTGCCTCCCATGGGGTGGGCGGGGTGATTCTGTCCTTGGTTGCCAGCCTGGCTGTTATCTGAGTGACCCCTCACTGCCCACACTGTGTGTCTGCAGCCTCCAGAGGCCTGAGCAGAGAAGTCCACCCAGTGGGTCAGGGGAGAGGAGATTGAAGCCACTCGCTCCCTGCCTTAGGCAGGCCCATCTGTGCTGATAACCTGGGGCCTGGGCACCCAGTCTGAGGCTGCGGGGTGGGGCAGGTCCCCTTTGGAGGATAGGTGGCAGCCAGCAGGGACCCACGTGGGCGGGTTGGAGAATGTGTGGGAGGCGGGGAGCCAGCTGAGCGTGCTGCTGTCCCCCCAGATCCTGCACAAGATTGACAAGGAGGGGGAGCGCCTGCCGAGGCCCGAGGACTGCCCACAGGACATCTACAACGTCATGGCGCAGTGCTGGGCCCACAAGCCCGAGGACAGACCCACGTTTGTGGCCTTGCGGGACTTCCTGCTAGAGGTGAGGGGCACACCTGCCTACAGACGCTGGCACAGGGTGTCCTGGCTGGGTGCCACCCGAGGTTAGTCCCAGGCAGGCGGTAACCAGTGTGTGTCACAGGCCCAGCCCACTGACATGCGGGCCCTGCAGGACTTCGAGGAGCCGGACAAACTGCACATCCAGATGAACGATGTCATTACCATCATCGAGGGAAGGTAGGATAGTGCCCACTGCGGAGATGCATGGCGGACACAGGCTGCCACCACCTCCTAGGGGTGATGGCAGCACTCAGGCTGCTGGTGATTGGCAGGGCTGAAGCAAGCTGGCTCCGGCAGGGCATAGGCCCCAGATTACCCTCTCTTCTCCACTGGCTCCGGCTGCTGTGTGGGTCAAAGCTGCCTCGTTGTGCTGGGCAGTGGCCCAGCTGAGCAGTGTCCCGCAAGAGCCCCTGCTTTTATCCTCCCCTCTGCCTTCTCCTTGTCTCTCCTGGCAGAGGACTCTGACTGCCCCTTTGGGCCCTGTAGCACCCAAAGCAAGCCCAGGCCACCTCTCTTGCTTCCATCCTTTCTCCACCCTCTTGCCAGACCTCTCTGGCCCCTCGGCCAGGGCTTCTTCATCTCCCCTGGCAGGGCCTGTCTGTCCCTGAGTCCGCAGTTCCGGGAGGACCTGCCCTCTGTCATCTGAACCCCCGGGAGGCTGAGGAGTGGGGCTGGGTGGCTGGAGATGCCCTGGGGCAGGGAGCCTGTGGAAGAAGAGCCGACGTCGGCCTGCTCTGTGGCTGGGGGCCTGCGGAGTATTAGGTAAATCCAACGTCAGCCTGGGAACTGGGTGAGCAGATACAGGACTTGCACCCATGGTAACCCTGTCCCTTGGTCCCAGGACACCAGGATCGAGAATGGCATTCCAACAGGTGGCAGGGCTGGGTATGGTTCCAGAGTTCCTGGTGTGCTAGAAACAGAAAGCCACTTGGGGACATTGTGCAGGTTTGGGGGTAGGGGGCGTGGCCCCCTGAGAGCAGCCTGGAAATAGGAAGAGGAAGGTGCCTAGCACAGCCTGCCCCACCTCGGGGAGCCAGGGAACTGCCCTGAGCTGCTGTCTCCTCCCACCAGGGCAGGTTCCCTGGGTGGCTCCGGGTTTCTGTGTCTCTGGACACTGAGTGCAAGGCTGGCTATGGGAGGGGCTGCAGAGTGGCTCCCGCAAGCTGTCACAGCCCGCCTTGTCCTGCCTTCTGTCCCTGGCACTGGTTGGCTTGGCTGCTGGTTCTGACTCCGGCTGCCACTGCCATGGTTTAGCTCATAGCTTCTTCCTTCAAGGCTGTCAGCCTTCCCTGGGTCTCCGGAGCTGCTCAGCAGGTAGGCAGTGATGAGGGTAGAGTGGGCCCATGTGTCGGCAGCAGCAGGGCTTTGACTGCCCCCTTCGGACTTCAGTCCTGCTGTCTGTTGGTCAAGCTGTCTCTATGCATGTGGTGTGTGCTGGCTCTGTGCTTCTCCAGCTCCTGGTTGGTCCCTCCTGCTCTCAAGGTGTCTCCTTATCTCCAGCCTGGGTGTCCATCATAGACTTCTCTGGGGGCTCCATGCTTCTTGGTGTACTGGGGGGCAGGCGGAGCTCAGCCAGGAGGCTGTGTCTAGATGCAGGGTTCCCAGGATGCCCAGTTTCTCGGAGGTGTTTTTTGGAAGGGGAGGTATCTGGTAGCTGCTCTTCGATCTGTTTTTATGGAATTGGTGAAGGGGCCAGAGGATTTGACGTCCATTGCAGGGTCTTGGCCTTGGCCTGGCCTGCAGTCTCTGCTTCCTATGTAGGTGTGGACACCAAGGGGCTGTGGAAGGGACTGGGGAAGGATGAGACAGCCCGAGCCGAGGAGTGCACAAGGTCCAGGCTGGAGGTACTGGGGCCTTGCTTGATCCCCCAGGGCCTTCTGCCTCTGCTTCATAACTGAGCCTGAGTGTTGTTTGGAGACCCCACTATGCAGAGTAGGAAGAGAGGCTGGTGACTGGGCTGCTGCGTCTTATCCTGCTGAGCCCTATGGCCAGCGAGCTGCAGCTGTCTGCCCTTCCTGGGGAAAGGGTCTTTCTGTGGGTGCCTGGGTGTCCCCCACGGGCTCTCTTCTGTGTGAGCGCCCAAGGCCCTGGGCTGTGCCTGTGAAAGGGCGAGGGGATGGTGGTGCTGTCACTCTCTGAAGTGGCCCAGGAAGAGGCATCAGGGAGGAGCTAGGCTGTGCTGGTCACAGGAGCTGTAGGGGTGCGTGCAAGGCCCCCCACAGCTTGGATGCCCCCACCTCAGGTGCCTTTCAGGGGGTGTGGAGAGCTGGTGCAGTGGGTCTTGGGGAGCAGCCGGTGGTCTGGGCTGGCTGGGGTGGCTCCCCACGGCACTCATGGTGCTCCTGTGTGCGGTGGTGGCCAGGAGCCCTGCTCCGCCTAGGAACAGCCCTGCTATTTTCGGATGGGTCTTGGCCCTTCCCGGGTGTTGCCCTCCACTGTCCTGGCTCTTCCTTCCTTCCCTTCCCTCCCTACCCTGGAGGCAGGGTGCTGTGTCTGCAGGAGGCTGGGCACCTCCTCCCCCACCACCGCCTGCCATCTCCAGAAGGATGCTGGGTCCCCAGTCTTGGGGATGGGCAGCTGCAGGGGTCTTGTGCCCCAGGCAGGGCCCCAGGTGCCCAGATCCCCCTTTCCTCCGTCTTCCTTGCCCTTGCTGGTCGCATTGCATCACCTCGGAGTCTTCTGCACGCCTCTGGCTTTAGGGTGGGTAAAGTGAGAGACAAGGGCTGATAGAGCAGGTGGCTTGGGAACACGTTCATCCCAGCAGCCTGACACTGTCACCACTGTGCCTGGGCCCAGACTCTGCCCACGCTGCTGACAAGTGAGCGGTTCTAGCGGTGGGGGTGGAAGTCTCAGCTTACGTATGGGGCTGTCTGCGAGGTGGGGGAGACTTGGGCTTCCGCCCCACGTGCCTCCGGCTGCAGTGCCTGAGCTTGGTCTGTGGCCAGTGCTCAGGCTGAGGGCCCACGGTACAGCCTCAGCAGGAGCCCAGCGTCACCTCATGGGCCCCCGTGAGGGGCTCGGCCTGAGGTGGTGGGGAGCGGGAAGGAAGAAGGCGTGGTTGTCCACCCTGAGGCTCTGTGGGGCCTGCTGTCTGCCGAGAACCGTGGAATCCGATGGAGAGTGTACATGAGGTTGGAAGGGTCAGGTTGGGCCTTGCTCGGGAGGAAAAGGGAGAGTGGGGCTGTGAGAAGACACAGCTGCTTTGCAGACTTAGTGACAGGATTGGAACCCAGGCTCTGTGTGTGCTGGTGAGGCAGGCGAATTCTGTCTCCTATAAACCAAGAGGGGCTGCCTGAGCCCACCGAGGGGGAATGGGGGGGCTTCAGGCACACAGCTGCATCCCACGTGGACAGCGGCAGGTGGGCTGGCCAGCTGCGTGGTAGGGGCCTGGCTTTCTCCCTGTCACTCTTTCAGGGAAGCCAGGTTGGCTGGCAGAGAGATCTTGGTGGGAGCAGGGTCTCCAGCCTGGCGCTCACCAGGCCTTCTCTGCGGGCAGGGCTGAGAACTACTGGTGGCGAGGGCAGAACACGCGGACGCTGTGTGTGGGACCCTTCCCCCGCAACGTGGTGACCTCCGTGGCCGGCCTGTCGGCGCAGGACATCAGCCACCCCCTGCAGAACAGCTTCATCCACACAGGGCACGGGGACAGTGACCCCCGCCACTGCTGGGGCTTCCCTGACCGCATCGATGAGTGAGTGTCTGGCACGGGCCCTGCTCCCCGCTCCCCGTTCCCCATTCCCCGCTGGGCCTGCGTCCCCAGGCTGATGTTGCTCTGCTGGCGGTGGGAGCAAGGCTCGTGTCTCCTGTTAAACACACACCTCCAGCAGAGGGGCTTGGGACCCCCATGAGGCTGGGCGAGTGCTGCTCAGAGCGGGCTCACGAGGGACACCTCCAAGGGCACTGTTCCCCTTTTCCCAAGGCTCTGCTTTTCCATGGCGGGAACATCAGAAGCCCCCGAGTCCAGTTCTGCCACAGTGATAGAGCCAGGCACGAGGACCTCTGCTGCCAGCTGTGGCAGGGACCCGAGAGCAGCCTCCTTTGTTGTCTGGGGATGACGTTGCTGCCATCCCTCCATGTTCACACAGGCTCTGTGTCCTGACCCGGCCAACATGGGCCATCCCCCCAACCCCAGCTCACACACGTGCCTGGCCCTGGGGTCAGGCTGCTGTCCCCTCCTTCCTGCTGGCTGCAAGCTGCAGTGCGTGTGTGGGCACAGCAGGGCTTGGTGCATGGTCAGCGAGGGCTGAGGGCCCACAGAGCAGCTGCACTGGGAGCTCTGCACTCCCTTGGAGGCTGCTCTAGGAGACCAGAGCGTGTCCTCAGGAGATGGTGGGGGACCAGGGCTGCCTGTGTGTAAGCTGTGCGCTTTCTCCCCGCGCCCTCTTCGGAGGCTCGTGTGGGGCTTCTCACCTCAAACGTCCTGCACTGTCACTGTCCCTGTGGTGCGAGGGTGGCTCCAGGCCCAGAGAACTGCCACCGGGCGCCCCCATCTCGGCCCGTGCTCCTCCGAGCCGTGCTCATTTTCACTGTTGGCCTCACTTTCCCAGGAGCCTTGTGTGGGGCAGGACTTGGAGGCGGGGCGGGGTGGGGTGCCCCTAGCTGTCCCTTTGACTTAGGTCTGTGGACAGATCGGGCGGGCAGGATGGGGATCAGGAGCCCAGAGCCCTGGCCTGGCTCTAAGATGCAGTGCAGTGTCCCCTGGACACGCTGGGGCACATTCTGCCTGACCTGTGTGGGGGGTGCCCAGCCTGTCCTCAGAGACCTGGCTCTGTCTGCAGACTGTACCTGGGGAACCCCATGGACCCCCCTGACCTGCTGAACATGGAGCTGAGCACCTCCGGGTCCACCCAGCACCTGGGGAGGGTGAAAAGTAAGTGCTGCTCCTTGGTGTCCCCAGGCCGCCCTGTCTGCTCTGGGACAGCTGTGTCCCTGGCTCCTAGGCGTGGGGCGGCCGAGGAGAGGCAGCTGTATCCGCCGAGGTGGGCCTCCTTGCCGCTCCTGCATCGGCCCTGCTTCCTTTCCCTCCCTTCCCTAATCCCACTCTCCTCCCCGGAGCCAAAGCCCCTGAGGTTGTGCCTCAGCCAGGGCCTCCTCCGTCTCCTGTGCCTGCGCCTGTCACTCGGGAGGGACGTGGCTGCCCTGTCCTGCTGCCCCGTTGCCTCCCCTTCCCGTTGGGGTTGTACATTTGCTCGCTTCTACTCACGGTGCTCTCTTCCCTCCCAACTCTGCCTCTGTCTGGCTCTGTCTCATCCTGTCCTCTGTCCCCGTCCCGCTCTGTCGCCCTCCCTGTCCTCTGTCCCCGTCCCGCTCTGTCGCCCTCCCTGTCCGGTCCAACTCGCTCTTTCTGCGTCCCTGTCCGCATGGCCTTTCTTGCAGGGGAGCCTCCACCTCGCCCTCCTCAGCCTGCCATCTTCACTTCGAGTAAGTGGGGCCACTCAAAATGCCCCTGCCCCTTTTCTCCTTTCTCCTCTCCCCTCGTCCTGGAAGGTACATGAGCTGGGGAGGCAGCTTCTGCTCTGAGCTTTTGCTGTTGACCCAACCTTCCCACCTCCCCTCGGGCCCTCCAAGCCTGAGCTTGGGGGCCCCCCTTGGCTCACTGTGCCATGGCGCCTCTTACCTGCTCTCTCCCTCTGGATGTGGGGGATTTTCTTAGAAGTACCGACTCCCAGGGGGTCCTGCTGCCCGAGCCTGCATTGATGGGGTGCTGTGTGGAGGTGTGGAGGGGGTCTCTCATCCTGCAGGGCCATCAGAGGTGGCAGGGTGGGGCTGCCTGCACTGCTGTAGAGGAGGCCAGGGGAGTACGGGCCGAGGTGGACGTGGGCACCTCGGTCCAGTCTGTCTGAATGGTGTGGGGTGTACTGGACGCTTAGCAGCCAAGGGGTGGCTGATTTGGGGAACTGGCTGTGGACCCTGTGGGGTACTCGGCTTCCTTCCTGTGCCCTGCCTTCATTTGTCCTCTGCCCTGCCTGAGCCTCTGTCGGGGTCTCCCTCCCATCCAGAGCCCACATACGACCCTGTGAGTGAGGACCCAGACCCCCTGACCAGTGACTTTAAGAAGCTGGGTCTGCGGAAGTCAGGCCTGCCCAGGGGGCTGTGGCTGGCGAAGCCTTCAGCCCGGGTCCCAGGCACCAAGGCTAGCCGTGGAGGCAGCGAGGTCACCCTCATCGACTTCGGAGAGGACCCTGTGGTGCCAGTTCCTCGGCCTTGTGCACCTTCCCTGGCGCAGCTGGCCATGGATGCCTGCTCCTTGCTGGACAAGACTCCTCCCCAGAGCCCTACGCGGGCCCTGCCACGCCCCCTGCACCCCACGCCTGTGGTGGACTGGGACGCACGCCCACTGCCCCCACCCCCTGCCTATGACGATGTGGCGCAGGACGAGGATGACTTTGAGGTCTGCTCCATCAACAGTACACTGGTGGACACTGAGCTGGCCCCTGGGCCCTGCCAGGGTGAGACCAACTACGCCTTTGTGCCAGAGCCCTCGATGCACCCCCCAGCGCTGGAGGACAACCTGTTCCTGCCCGCCCAGGGCGGGGGCCCGCCACCCAGCTCGGCGCAGACAGCTCGGATCTTCCAAGCACTGCAGCAGGAGTGCATGCGGCAGCTGCAGGTCCCCACGGGCTCGCTGACCCTCTCGCCTAGCCCCAGGGGTGACGACAGGCCCCAGGTGCCACCCCGTGTGCCCATCCCCCCTCGGCCCACACGCCCAAGGGTGGAGCTGTCTCCAGCCCCCTCAGGAGAGGAGGAACTGGGCCGGTGGCCTGGACCTGCATCCCCTCCTCGGATACCTCCCCGGGAGCCCCTGTCCCCACAAGGTTCGAGAACCCCCAGCCCCCTGGTGCCACCTGGCAGCTCCCCGCTGCCACAGCGGCTCTCCAGCTCCCCTGGGAAGACCATGCCTACCACTCAGAGCTTTGCCTCCGACCCCAAGTATGCCACCCCTCAGGTGATCCAGGCTCCTGGCGCCCGGGCAGGGCCTTGCATCCTGCCCATCGTGCGTGATGGCCGGAAGGTCAGCAGCACCCACTATTACCTGCTGCCCGAGCGCCCTCCCTACCTGGAGCGCTACCAGCGCTTCCTCCAGGAGGCGCCAAGTCCCGAGGAGCCGGCCCCACAGCCTGCACCCCTCCTGCTGCCACCACCCAGCACCCCAGCCCCTGCAGCCCCAACTGCCACTGTGCGACCCATGCCCCAGGCTGCCCCCAACCCCAAAGCCAACTTCTCTACCAACAACAGCAACCCTGGTGTCCGGCCGCCTGCCCTGCAGAGGGGCTGCCTGGGGGATGGGTTGGAGACTGCGCGGCCAGCAGACAAGGTCCAGATGGTGAGTGGGACTGGCTGCATGGGTGGGCAGGCCGAGGGACCCAGAGAGCTGGGCGTGGTGCTCACAGGCACTGTGCCCAGCTGCAGGCCATGGTGCATGGGGTGACCACAGAGGAGTGCCAGGCTGCCCTGCAGAGCCATGCCTGGAGCGTGCAGAAGGCTGCCCAGTATCTGAAGGTATCTGCTCCAGTGCCAGGGCCCGAGACTGCTGCTGTCCCCAGCTCTGCTCTGGCTTTCCACCCCGCCTAGCACGGTACCCCCTCAGCCCTGGACCCCACAGTGCTGCCCTCTGCCCCCCAGGTGGAGCAGCTCTTTGGGCTGGGGCTGCGACCAAGGCTAGAGTGTCACAAAGTGCTGGAGATGTTTGACTGGAACTTGGAGCAGGCTGGCTGCCACCTCCTGGGCTCCTGTGGCCCTGCCCACCACAAGTGAGTGCCCACCCCTGCTCTTGGATGGGGCAAGCTGCCATGGGCTGGGAACGGTCGTCCCAGGCTGCAGAGTCAGGGACTGGGTGAGGGGCTGGCTTCCTCCGCCTCCACAGCAGTCCTGGGGTTCAGACCCAGGATTTGGTTTTTTTTTTCCTTCTTTTGGTACCAAGGGTTGGACTCACGATCTTATGCTTGCCAGGCAGGTGCTTAAGCCTCTGAGCTAAATCCCTGGCTCCTGGGCTCAGGAGTTTAAGCGAACACTTCTTACCTCTTTTTAGGTTTCTATTTAAAGTCACATTAAAAATGTTAATGCCTTGGCATTCACCTGTTTTCCCAGGAGTCTGGAGGCTAAAGCAGGATTGCGTAAGCCCAATATTTTGAGACCAGTCTGGGTAACAAATCGAGACCCTGTTTCAAAATGTTTTCATATATACATATGTACTTACACATAGTTCATGGCTTTTTAAAATTCATTTATTTTTGTCTTTTTAAGACAGGGTTTCGCTATGCAGTTCAGCCTGACCTTCAGCTCATTTTGTAGCCCAGGCTGGCCTCAAACTCACAGTGATCCTCCTGCCCCAGTGTCCCAAGTGCTGGGGTTTATATAAGTAACGCTGAATGGTATATAAATACACGGTGTCCGACTGAGAGTGTTGACATGCAGGCTCACAGGCGATACCCGTTCTGTCCCAGAAGCCAGTGCTATGGGCTGAGGGCCTGACTGGTGGGTGGGCTTAGGGCTGAAGGCTGGGTGAGCAGCCCATGCCCTGCCCATTGCCCAGCTGGCTCCCTCCTCTGTCTGTCCAGCCGGAAGTGGGGGGAGAGCTGGGTGAGGGACAGCACTGTCACCCACACAGGTCAGTGTGGGTTGTTGTCTCCTGATTTCTGCCTCATTTACATCCAGAGAGGCTGAGGCTTATTGTCCTTGCATCCTTGGGTGCTGACAGCAGCACTGTTCTGTCACCTCAGAACACTGTCCCAGGGTAATAAGCTGTGGCATCGCTGCCCACGCTGCTAGTGCACAGCCCCTCCTGGCACCAGCTAGCCTGTGCTGACGGGCAGGGTACTTTCCCTGCAGGCGCTGAGTGGCATCTGAGACCGAGGGTCTGCCCTGACAGAGTGACGCGAGCTGCCCATGTGCCAGGGTGGAGAGGCTGCCCACCCAGGCCGGAAGACCTGCTGTCGCCGTTGTTCTATGCCACAGTGAGGTCGGCGCCCACCTCCCTCAGCTGGCGCTGGCCCTGCTCACTTGGGTTCAGCCCTCAGTGCCCCTGCCAGGGTAGGAAGGGCCCTGTGAACCAGCCAGGACATCCAAGGCTAGGCCGGGTCCTGTCCAGGGGACCAGCCTGAGAGGGAGCCATTGTGACCCGGCGGGAGGTGTGCGCCCATGCAGAGAGGCCATGGTCTCTGGTGGTTGGGGCCAGGGCTCCAGGAGCCCTGCTGGCACTGGGGGGCAGGCAGGAATCGACTGTGGCCTCGTGGACTGTAGATGTGCTACGGGGCTTTGCCCACCTTAGGCTCTTGTGCCTGGAAATAGCCAGGGTGGCTTGGGAAGCAGAGAGGAGGTGCCAGACCGTTTTCTGGCAGGGACCAGGGTCCAAGGCCCCAGGGTTGGGAGGAGACCAAGGGCCAGCTGCCCTAGAGGGACACCAGTGCTTCCTGTATGCACCCAACTCTTCCTCTGTGCCGTTCTGTTTCCCACCAGCCTCTGTCGCCAAAGCTGCTGCCCCAGCTATCAATATCTGCTTCTTTCAGAGAAATAAAGTTAGTTTCTATTTTATGTTACTCTCTCGTGCCTGCCTGTTTTCTTTGTCCGTCGGCCAGCAGACAGCACCACCTGTCGGCAGAGGGAGGAAGTGCGGCTGGAAGCCGGGTCACACTGCCTGGTGGATATACAGGATAGATCCCACGTACCCCACAAGTACTGCAAATTGGTCTGCTGGTGCTCAGCCAGAAAGTTTGGTGACAAGAAAGTGCACAGTAGTAGGTGTAGCTTGGTGCAGTGATGTATGCCTGTAATCACAGCGTTCTGGGATGCTGAGGAAGGAAGAGTACAGGTTTCAGGCCTGGCCTGGAAAACCTGGTGACTTACTGAGATGCTGTCTCCAAAAATAAAAAGGGGACCTCAGTGCAAAGGCTGTGGGCTCGATCCCCAGTATGACCCCCCCCCTCCGCACCAGTATTCTCATTTTGTTTTTCTGAACAACATTGACATTTAAAATCACCATGCAGTGCCCCCCATCCCACACCAGAGGCTGCCTTCCTCGTCTGCTTCCTGTGTTTTTTTTTTTGGTCATAGTTATTTTTTGTTATTTTGTTATTTTATTTTTTGTCGATGTCGCTCCCGGCCTGCAGGAAGAACACGCGACAGATTCTGATAGTGTGCAACCTTGCCTTTATTTATCTCCGCGTGGGCCCCGCGAGGCCTCCACTCTGCCACCAGCCCTTTCTCGCCGGTGGACTTTTTCTATCTCTCTCTGTGCTTCCTCTGTGCTTCTCTGTCTCGTGGCGGGAGAGGCATTCACTTTTATAGGGTGACAGTGGCCAATCAGTTCAAAGCGCGCGATGCGGGCTAATTGGCTAACATCAGTTGTTGCTAGGCAGACTATCTTACAGAGCGGGTTGTTTAAGTCGCCAGCGCAATCAGGGGGCAGGAAGCAGGCGCCAACTTGACTCACTCGATGGGAGGGGCAATCTAGCTCAGGCCCCGCTCCCACCCACAGGCCCTACGTCCGCCAAGTAAGGCGACCGGTGTCGGCGGCTCCCAACATCTTTTGTTGTTCTCACTATGTAGTTCAGGCTGGCTTTACATACCCTCCTGCCTCAGCCTCCTGAGAGATGTGTGCCACCACGTCCCGCCCATTTTTTATTTTAGTAAGTTGCCAGTATTTTGAAGAGCTCCACAGCGACGGAAAGGGTTTTCTGTTCCTGTTGAGGGGCACACGTATGTCTGGGTCCCTGCAGGCTGTTTAACCGGGCTGTGGAAGGGTGTTTACTCATCGCCAGCCCCTGCAGTGAGAGCCGTGGCAGTGACACGCAGCTCCCAGGCTGTGTCAGTAGAGCACGCACAGTGCAGGTGCTGCGGCCGACTTGCTTGTGGTGGAGGGACCATTCCATCTGTCACTCCAGCCGTGTTTGAGAGCTGCCACGCGTCTGCAGCTCTCTGCTCTCGGAAGGGGGTGAGGATGGAGTCCTCGGGTCTCAGCACCCACTGCTTTGCTTTATGAAGGGACTTTTCAGTCCATCCCCGTGTGTTTTCTATGAGTTGCCTGGCAATTCCCTTGGCCCGTTTTTGAGGATATGAATCCATTTCTTACTGGTTTTTAGGAAATTGCTGGATAAAGGAAATTAGCCATTTGAGCTTCACAAATTATCATATGAGCTTTAAGAAAAGGAAATAGAAATAAGCTGGTGGCTAGGATTTACTAAACAGAACGGGCTTGAGATGTGCTCAGTAGTACAGCAGTTGCCATGGACACGGACACACTTGTGCATGCACACACGGGCCATCCTGAGTGGCCCGGGCCCACTGTGTCTGGAGCTCTGGGCTGTTTTGTGCAGTAGGTTTTGAAGCCCACATGAACCTCACTTGCTAAGGAATTTTTTTTTTTTGTACCGGGGATCAAACTCATGACCTCATGCTTGCCAGGCAGGTGCTTATGCTGCTGAGCTAAATCCCCAGCCCTTGCTAAGGAATTTTAAATTATTTTTAAGTGTAATTAACAATAGGGAAAGCACACACCTGTGACCACAGCACTCTGGAGGCTGAAGCAGGAAGATTGCAAAAATGGGCCAATCTAGGCTATGAAGTGAGACCCTCTCACAAAACCAAACCTGAGAGTCTGGAAAAATGGGGCGGTAAGCGGAAGAGCCAACAGCCTCTCTGAGAGTCGGTGCAACGCATCGTGCAAAAGAGAAGAAAGGAAAGTGGGTGCCCTGGACCTAGGGAGAATCTGAAGAGCTAATTGAAGCCCAGAGACAGTGAAGAGAAAGACTTCAAGGAGGGATCTGGCAGAGCCTCCCCCCAAGACTGGCCTCACTGCGAGGAGGAGCTGTGCGATCCTGGGGACGCACAGTCACGGCCGGCGGAGGGCAGCAGCAGACTGAAGCACCGCACTGACCCGCACTGAGTGCGGAGGCCCGCGCTTAGGAGTTGGCCTGCAGAGGGGCAGCCTGAGCTCGAACTCAGGACGGCGGCTGGCTCCCTCTAGTGGCTGCAGCGGGGCTGAGCTCGGAGGAAGGAGCCGGTGAGCCACACGTGACTCACCATCACATGGGACTGGTGTCCACCCGAAGCTGCGGGCTGTCCACCCTTCTGCTCGCTGGGAATGAGTGACCCGGATCTGGACTCTGTCTGCACGGGTCGTCTGCGGTGAGACACAGACAAACCTGGAAGCAGACTTTTTCCTGCCTTTTCCCGCCTCTCACGTTTGTCTCTGATTTTTACTTCTTGCTTCCTTTTTTTTCTTTTTCCTTCCTTGTTGGATCTTATTTTTCCAGAAGTGCAAGCCGGCTTCTGGCCTCCCCCGGCTCTGTTCCGTTCTCTCCATCCCTTCCTTTGCTCTTCCCCTCCAGTCGTCTACACCAGTTTCCCAGAGTTAACTCGGGCCCCCTTGGTCCTCCAGCCTTCTAGTCCTTTCCTCTTTTTCCAGTTCTCTGTTTTCTCCTTAAACTGTATTAAACTTTAACCCCAAGAGCAAAATTGACATATCATTGTATACTGCATACAATGTTCTAGTTTGTTTTAGATTTTGTTATATAACCACTAATCTAGTTCATGTGGTTAAAAGGGGCAAATTAAGGGTTTGCTCACTCTGTCATTTTCTAGGCTGTGTTTGATGCTATTGGTACCACTATAGCCAAAATTGACATAATTGTTCTAAACAGCTGTTGGCCCTGGTATTCCATGACCTCGATTGACTAAGGGTCACAGAAAATACTGTGGCACGGTGCCAGAGAACCAGGGACTGGGCCAAACGACTTCCCATCTCCAGCAAACTGAATTGGTGAGGTCTTCCATAGACTCAAAACCCGACAACTGGTTATACCTGAAAGATACCTCAGAGGAAGCAATCATCACCTAAGGGTCCTAAATACTAGCACTAAAGCAACCCGCCATAGGCAACTTAAAGGCATCACCCCAGGAATTAAATTTAAGAAAGAGCATAAGTGCCTGCCTGTCAAGCACGTGAGTTTGATCCCCAGTAAAAAAGAAAAAAATAAAAACCTATTAGAGGGTTAATATGTGAACAAATTAATGATTTTAGGGGCTGTGGGTTTAGCTCAATGGTGTAAGCGCCTGCTTGGCATGCTTGAGATTGTGAGTTTGATCCTCAGTACCAAAAAAAGAAAGAAAAGGAAAAGACATTTAAACAAAATGTAACCCCTGACATTGGATTTGCTAAAGCCACACCCGAGGGAGCAATGAGGTGGTACAATCAGCCCCTCATCAGGACTCTCTGAAGCAGTAACAACAAAACAATTGAGTGGGGCTCTGGATAAAATGAAATCAGGAATGGTCTCTCAGATAGCTACAGAGATGATGTCAAAAATAAAGACCATGCTGAGTGATGCTAAGGCAGATACAGGGGGAAAAAAAGCTTAAGACAAGCTTAAGACAATTACAGAAGCTCAGCATAGGAAATAATTTTAATCCATCAAGCAGATTCAAGCAGATACCCCTGAGAATAAAAACTCCACTGAAGTAGATTAGGCCATTAAAGACTAGCTTGCAGTTAGCGACCAGGAGAAGAAAGATTTCTCAAAAATAGCAAGGGGCCATGAAAAGTCAGTCCAGCAGCTGCTGGATGAGACAAAAAAGAATATCTTAAAGTTGACTGGAGTCAGTGAAAAAACTAAAAAGATCTTGAGGACGTTGAAAAAGCTGGCGCAGGCTGGCCAGCATGGGAGTGAAATCAGTGAAGATGCTGACCAGCCAGCCCACGCCCCACTCGAGCTCAGCCTTTCAGGAGCTGGGACATCATCGCAGCAAGACCGTGAGCTCCGAGCAGTGTGTCCCTGAGAAGGTGGCTTCTGACTTGGCAAAGAAAGGCAGATGTCACGCAAGCGAATGCTGAAATTGCCTCCCTCCTGCCTCAGTCCCCAAGTGCTGGGATCACAGATCGGTCGTGGTACTGTCAGATGGTATCTGTTCCACGGATGCTGTGTTCACACACAGCATAGCATTACTGGAGGAGCCTGAAGCCCGGGAGAAAGCCCCTTTGCGGCGGGCAGCGCCACCTATTGGCAGGACGTGGAATTGCACTCGGGCTCTTTCAGAGGAAGGACTGAGGAAAATCATTGCTCAATCCTTGCAGCCAAGGACTGCAGGCCCAGGGTATTCGCTGGTTAAAGGGACTCAGCCCAGGGGAGCTTGGTGGGGAGGGAACAGCTTTACCTACCTTCTAGAGCCAGATGGGACCCGGATAGGATCTACTGCCAGCAGTGGGGCCTGGCTCGGGGGCTCTGATGGGACCACACCAAACCCGGGGAAGAGGCCAGTGGCCACCACTGATCATCCTAATATTTGTTTGTTTGTTTTGTGTGCTGGGGATTGAACTCACAACCTTGTGCTTGCTAGGCAGGCACTTATGCCACTGAGCTAAATCCCTGGCCCCATTCTAATATTTTCATTACTTTTATTCTATTCATTCTATTATTTTTGTTACTGGATCCTACCATAGTTCTACTCGCAGTTCTTTGAGAAAGCACCGTTCTGCTTTTCACGGTGACTGTGGCAGTTTACATCTCTGCCAACGGGGCTTGGCAGTCTGCTTCACCTCACC